TTTACAACTGCTTGTTTGTCATCTTTATATTTTGTTTAACGAAACACACTTTCAGATCATTTACCTACTTTTATTTTTCTTTAAAGTTCTTTTTTTTTTTAAGATTTATTTATTTATTTATACATGCACTGGGTACAGTCAGAGGGTGAGAGAATTCACCAGAGCCAGAGCGGGTGGCAGAGCAGGCAGAAGGACCGAAGTACACTGCTGAGGGGAGCAGCGGGTGGCAGGAGAGGTTTGCGTGCCTTGCGGGACCCTCCTCCGGTGGCTGCGGAGCAGCCAGGGATTGAACCAGCGCTGCAGAGGCTGCGGGCAGCTTCGCAACCCAGAGCTGCGGGCAGCTCAACCGCTGCGCCACCGGGGAGGCCCATTTACCTACTTTTAATTGGGTTGTTTGTGTGCTTGCTTATTGGTGCAACTTTAAGACTCCTTTCTATATTCTATATTCTGGACCCAAGCCTTCCTTAAACAGGTGATTTGTAAATATTTCTAATATTGTGTTTTTCATTCTCATAACAGAATCTTTCAAAACCAAAGTTTTTAATTCTAATCAAGTCTAAATTATCCATTTTTTTTCCTTTTATGGATGATACTTTTGGTGTCATATTTAAAAACTCTGCCAAATTCAAGCTAGTACAGATTTTCACCTAAATTTAGGTGAAAATCTAGAAAAAATTTTATAGTTTTTTATATTTTATATTGATAAATTTGAGATGATTTAATATAAAATATGTCATTCAAGATATCTTGTCTTATCTTTATCATGTTATTGTTGGTTTGTTTTTGTTCTCTTGTTTTGCAACTAGACTGCCAACTTTTCCAGTACCGCTTGTTGAAAGGCTTACTTTTCATTAATTTCATTTGTACCTTTGTAAAAATTCAGCTGCCTATATTTGAATTTATCACTGGGGTTCAACTGTGCCCCATGGATCTATGTGTCTATCTTTCCACCAACAGCACTCTCTCTAGATTAGCAAAGCTCCACATTAAGTCTTAAAATCAAGGACCACAGTCTTGGAATCACAAGATAGTTGGGTCACAAGATGGTAGTGCCACAAAATGATGGAGTCACAAGATGGTAGAGACTCATCATAGTGCAGCAACAAGATGGTGGGGCCATAAGATAGTGGAGTCACAAGAGGGTGGGGCAACAAGATGGTGGAGCAATAAGATGGTAGGGCCACAAGTTAGTGGAATCACAGGATGGTGGGGCCACAAGATGGTGGGGTGGTAAACCAGTAGAGTCACAAACTTATGGGTCCACAAGCTGGTGGGGCAGCAAGATAGTGGAATCACAAAAATGGTATGGTCATAAGATGGTGGAGCAAAGAGATGGTGGAGTCTCATCTTGTGTTCTTTTTTTTTTAAAGATTTATTTATTTATTTATACAAGCACTGGGTACAGTCGGAAGCATGGGAGGGTGAGAGGATTCACCAGAGCCAGAGGTGGGAGCAGAGCAGGCAGAAGGACCGAAGTACACTGCTGAGGGAAACAGCGGGTGGTAGGAGAGGTCTGCGCACCATGTGGGACCCTCACCCGGCGGCAGGGGAGCAAACGGGCACTGCAGAGTCTGCGGACAGCTTCGCAACCCAGCGCTCAACCGCTGCGCCACGGGGGAGACCCTCATCTTGTGTTCTTAATAGATTTTTAAATGTTCACTTCTATCTCATCCTTGTTTTTTTAATTTTTTTTTATATTCCCCATACAATTGCAACCCCCTGATTTTAACCCCAATCCCTCCTTTCCCCGCCCCCCCCAAAGTGTGTCTCTGGTTCATAGTTGTTTGTTGTTTTTGATTTTTTGCTTTCTTATAGTTATTCTTTTTCCTGGTCCCTTATTTAGGTTTTCTAGATTCCTGCCGAGTGAGGCCATCCGGTATTTTCCTTTTTCTTTCTGGGTTATTTCGCTGAGCATGATCCCTTCCAGCTCCATCCATGTTGCTGCAAATGTCATGTGGTTATCTTTTTTGAATGCTGAGTAATATTCCATTGTGTATATGTACCACATCTTCTTGATCCAGTCATCTATTTTGGGGCATTTGGGTTGTTTCCAAAGCTTAGCTATTGTAAATAGTGCTGCTATAAACATAGGGGTGCAGGTGCTCTTTGGAATTAATGTTTCTGTGTCCTTTGGGTAGATACCGAGGAGGGGAATTGCTGGATCATATGGAAGCTCTATCTTTAGTAGGTTGAGGAATCTCCACACAGCTTTCCATAGTGGTTGGACCAGTTTGCACTCCCACCAACAGTGCAGAAGAGTTCCCTTCTCTCCACACCCTCGCCAACATTTGTTGTTGCTAGTTTTTTTAATACGTGCCATTCTCACTGGTGTGAGATGGTATCTCATTGTAGTTTTTATTTGCATTTCCCTGATGGCAAGTGATGTTGAACATTTTTTCATATGTCTGGTGGCCATTTGTATTTCCTCTTTGGAGAAGTTTCTTTTTAGCTCTTCTGCCCATTTTTTGACTGGATTATTTTCTTTGTTTTTGTTGAGTCTCATCAGCTCTTTGTAGATTTTTGTGATCAGTCCTTTATTGTTAATGTTGGATGCAAAAATGTTCTCCCAGTTGGTGGGGTTTCTTTTTGTTTTGCTTATTGTCTCTTTTGCTGTGCAGAAGCTCTTTAATTTGATGTAGTCCCAGCTGTATATCTTTGCCTTCACTATCACTGCTTTGGGTGATGCATCTGTAAAGATTTCTTTGAGGTGCATGTCATGTAGTGTTTCACCTATATTTCCTTCTATATATTTTATGGTTTCAGGTCTTATGTCTAGTCCTTGAATCCATTTTGAGTTGTTTTTTCTTTTTTTTTTTTTTAATAGAGGCATGCTTTATTTATTTGTTTGCTAGTTTGTTTGTTTGTTTTGTTTATACATGCACTGGGTACAGTCAGAAGCGCGGGAGGGTGAGAGAATTCACCAGAGCCAGAGCGGGGAGCAGAGCAGGCAGAAGGACCGAAGTACACTGCTGAGGGAAGCAGCGGGCGGCAGGAGAGGTCTGCACGCCATGTGGGACCCTCCTCCGGTGGCCTGGGAGCAGCCGGGAATCGAACCGGCGCAGCAGAGGCCGCGGGCAGCTTCGCAACCCAGCGCTCAACCGCTGCGCCACCGGGGAGGCCCTGTTTTTTTCTTTTTTTAAAGATTTATTTATTTGTTTATACAAGCACTGGGTGCAGTCAGAAGCGCGGGAGGGCGAGAGAATTCACCAGAGCCAGAGTGGGGAGCAGAGCAGGCAGAAGGACCAAAGTACACTGCTGAGGGGAGCAGCGGGTGGCAGAAGAGGTCTGTGCACCATGTGGGACCCTCCTCCGGTGGTCGGGGAGCAGCCAGGGATCAAACCGGGGCCGCAGAGGCTGTGGCAGCCTCGCAACCCAGCACTCAGCCGCTGCGCCACAGGGGAGGCCCCTTGAGTTGGTTTTTGTGCATGGTGTGAGGTAGTAGTCAAGCTTCATTCTTTTGCACCATTTATTGCTTCATTCCCAGCGCCATTTATTGAACAAAATTTCTTTACTCCAGTGCATATTCTTTGCTCCTTTGTCAAAGATTAGTTGACCATAGATCTGTGGGTTTATTTCTGGGTTTTCTATTCAGTTCCATTGATCCATGTGTCTTTTCTGGTTCCAATACCATGCAGTTTTTATTATTATGGCTTTGTAGTATAGTTTGAAATCTGGGAGCATGATGCCTCCATTCCCTTCTTTTTTTTTTTCAGGAGAGCTTTGGCTATTCGGGGTTTTTGGTGGCTTCATATGAATTTTATCAATATTTTTTCTATTTCTTTGAAGAATGACATTGAAATTTTTATTGGAATAGCATTGAATCTGTAGATTGCTTTTGGTAGGATGGCCATTTTGATAATGTTAATTCTTCTGATCCATGAGCAGAGGATGTCTTTCCATTTCTTTGTGTCTACTTCTATTTCTTTTAACAGTGTTTTATAGTTTTCTTTGTATAGGTCCTTTGCTTGTTTTGTTAGGTTTATTCCCAAGTATTTGATTTTTTTTTTTGTTTCAATAATAAAAGGAATAGTTTTCTTGATTTCTTCTTCTTCAGATTTATTTTTTGTGTAGAGGAAGGCTACTGATTTTTGTGTGTTGATTTTTTTATCCTGCTACTTTACTAAACTGATTGATTAGTTTAATTAGTTTTTCTGTGGAGTTTTTGGGGTTCTCTATGTATATTATCATATCATCCACAAATAGTGATAGTTTGACTTCTTCCTTGCCTATTTGGATTCCTTATATGTCTTTCTCTTGTCTTATTGCTCTGGCTAGGACTTCCAGTATTATGTTGAAAAGCAGGGCCTCCCCGGTGGCGCAGCGGTTGAGCCCTGGGTTGCAAGGCTGCCCGCAGCCTCTGCGGCACCGGTTCGATCCCCGGCTGCTCCCCTGCCACCAGAGGAAGGTCCCACATGGTGCGCAGACCTCTCCTGCCGCCCGCTGCTCCCCTCAGCAGAGTACTTCGGTCCTTCTGCCTGCTCTGCTCCCCGCTCTGGCTCTGGTGAATTTTCTCACCCTCCCGCGCTTCTGACTGTACTCAGTGCATGTATAAACAAACAAACAAACAAACAAATAAATAAAACATGCCTCTCTTAAAAAAAAAAAATACTCCTAAAAAAAAAAAAAAGCAGTGGTGCTATCTCATCCTTTTCAAGTTTAGTTTTCTCTATGTTTATCACTTTTGTAACATATGAGTGCAGAAATATGGGTTAATGTATTATCTGCTATGTACCTACTGGGGTACATGCTCAACCATCTCTACTCATGGGATTTGTGACAGTTTGGAGACTGCCACTTCCTATCCCACTTGGATGAGGAGGGACATTGAGGAGAAGAAACAAGAGAGGGAGGAAGGATATTGAGAAGAAACGTGAGGGAGGAAGGCCCAAGATACAGTTATCAACTGCATTAGAGTACATGAGTGCAAGATTTATGGCCTACAGTCCAAAGAAGTAGGGTTCTAGAATCTCTAGGAAACAAAAGAGTTAAGAATCCTTCCTTCTCTGGGGCTCTAAAGAAAGTTTCTTGGTTGAGGACAGGATTACTTGTGCCTTGTAAGAATCCGAAATGGCTTTATGGGACACAGGAAGCTCACGCCAGCTGCCAATCGCTGATTGAGTAAGTACAGTAGTGTGTCTTCCACAGAATCACCTGTGAAATGCCTTTGAGACAGGCAACAGGACTTTGACTATTTTAATAAGACCTAAATTAGTCTGGTGAAGGTGCCCATCCCAAAGAGCCACCAGTGGCAACCCCTAGATTTAGGGATGTAGAACACTGCACCAGGGGTTTCCATTGCTATAGGATTTCATTTCATTTGCTTTGATTTGTTTGAAACCTGTAAAATTCTAAGGAATAGGATGTAAATCAACTTAATTTGTTAAATCTATGACTAAAACCTTGTCTCCCACTCAGTGACTGGTACAATGCGAGGGTGTGCGATATCTCAATGCTGTACACCAGGGCCATTTTCTATGATGAGCCAGACAATAAATATTTTAGATTTTGTGGTCTGTTGGCCTCTAACATAACTACTCAACACTGAAAAGCAGCCAAACACAATAAGTTACTGAGTGGATCTATGTTCTAACAAAACTTTATTTATAAAAGCAGGTCTAGTTTCCCAATCTGTCCTATTACCAGTATATACTTTCCATACCCCAAATGGCATGCTTAGTTTCTCAAGGCCTCATAGTGAGTCTCTTCTCTGACCTTGCTCAATACTCAGCCCTGTTTTTAGCCTTGTCTTTCCATTGGGGAGCCTATAGGTAAGAGAAGAAACTAATATTTTAGAAATTTCTAGGCAGGTGCAAAAAATGATACTGGATGAAATTATGTTTGAACATCAGTATCATTTTCTGTACCTGCCTAGAAATTTCTAGGGAGGGTAAAGCAGATTATTTGAGAGGAAGCACTTCTGAAAAACCAGTAGCCAGCAAAGAATGGAGTTCTTGATCTTCCTATCATTTGAAACAATTCAGGGAGGGACCTGTATGACCTCTCTACTCCCATCATTAACACTTTCCTCCTTTGAGACCCATTATCTTCCAACCCCCCCCCCTTGCTTATCAATTGACACCAGGCTTATAGGAGAACCTCCCCATGGAGGAACTAAAAAAAAAATCGCCTTTATTGTACAACAGATATTTTTGAAGCAACACTCCCACATTTCAAAAGTATCAAGAAAAGAGAATGCAAGAAAAAGAAGGTGCTAAATCTACTCCCTTCAATAAGCCCACAAACGATAAGTCTTTAAAGTTAACAATGCAGATGCAAATATATTTCATCTCTGATTGAAATCGGGGTATCAATTTCCATATATATAGGCAATGCTTAAGTCTTTGTATTTCATCTTTTTTTCTATCCATAGAGCAAAAATGGGAATTCTAGAAATGGATTTCCCATCTGGCTGTCCATGAAGGAAAGTTTCTGTCTTTGTCTGATCCCAGGAATATAACATTTACTTGAAAATATCCATGTTGAAAAGTACTAAGAAAAGTGCCTGCACCCATTCCTTCCCTGTACCGTATATTCTCTATACTTTGTTTTGCCCTGAAGCTGGCTCTGAATGATTAAAAGTGACAAGGTCACCCATCACTGTGGATGGCACATTTTGAAGTTCTTATCAGCAATAGATTTAATCTCAGGACTCAAGACAAAGCAAGGGTGTCTGACCTGGTCTCCCAATCTCTGACAGGTTGTGCCTCCAACAGGCCTGGGGATGAGTGCTACCAGCATCTTGGTCCTGATCGGCTGCCTAGTCACAGTCACTGAGCCCAAAATCTACACTCGCTGTAAACTGGCAAAAATATTTTCAAGAGCTGGCCTGGACAACTACCGGGGATTTAGCCTTGGAAACTGTGAGATTTCTCCTTTCGCGTTCTCTTTCTATTCTTAATCTCTGCTCCCCCTCCTCCAACCACCCCACCCCCAAAATATTAAAGTTCCCACCCAAACTCCCTTCAGTTTGATTGCAGTTTTCCATGTTCTGCTCCACCAGGCATGGTTGCTAGGATTCACATGTCCTCAGCTCTCAGCGGTTCCTCTATTTCTTCCCTGACTCTCATGTCCTCATTCCTGGAATCCTGTACTAATGAACCAGCAACAAACAGAAGGAGAAAACAATGCCACTCTTGCTGCCATTGGTGGGGGCAGACCTAACCCAGTCTAGCCCAGAGTCAGCCACTGACTAGGGGTGCTGCTTCCAAGGTGCCATCCCTGTACTTCGTGTGACCCCATAGGTGCACTGCTGCCCTGACCTTCCCAGAATTTTGTTGAAAGCAGAGCATTGTCATAACATGTAAAAGAGAGCCCTCCCCACAGAATAGGTTTGCAAAAAAACAATGCTTTTCTTTGGCTGCCATTTCTGGCTTTCCCCTAGGGATCTGCATGGCGTACTATGAGAGCCACTATAACACCACAGCCCAGACAGTTCTGGAGGATGGGAGCACTGATTATGGCATTTTCCAGATAAACAGTTTCACGTGGTGCAGACATGCAAAGCTACAGGAGAAGAACCATTGCCATGTTGCTTGCTCAGGTACAGTTTCGATTTTCTAAAAATATCATTCTCATGGACAAAGACAGGAAAGCTGGTAATAGAATTTCCACCCATTTTCTGCTTTCACTAAAATGTGGAGTTCATATGTGCAAGTAGGTCTGTACAAAGCCAATAAATTATTCAATTGTTCCCTGAGGTCACGCTCACAATCCTGTGGCCTACTTGTCCAAGGAATACTTATTCTTACAGAATGGTTTTTATGAAGCCTGGCATGAAAACAGGGTGATGAACAAATGGTCTTTTCTACCCTTTCCTACATAGACATAAAATACTTAGATAAGTAGAAAACTCTTTGCCAACTAATTTCCATAAGCAATTCACTCAAATGATGTAGTATATGCTTCTTTGTACAGAACGAGACAAATACACTTTATGGTGCATTTCTTAAACACTGGAAACTAAGCTGGAATCCACTTCCAAGTCTTCTACTTCAATTACTTAAGAATAGAATTGAGGATAGCAAAATGTATCAGACATGAACTCTTGTATAGTTTTCCCCCATTGTCTGAAAGTAGAGCATTCCCATAAAGTCTTCATAAGAGGAAATGGTATAAATCAAAGAAATAATTTCCATTAATTTATATGGGAAATTGTTTGTTGAGGTAACATTGGTTTACAACACTGTATGTATTTCAGAGGTGTAGAATCATATGGTCCAGATATATGTCACCACATCACACGCATCACCAAAGGACCCAGAGTCCTCCACTACAGTCCATTTTGCCTCCTCTATTTGGGAAAATTTTTAAGCATTCTAAGATCCTTTTAGGACTCTAATGACACATGCGTTATATTACTTGATGTTGTCACTGGATGTCTTCAATTTTATGACTCATTTTCTCTTTTGATATTATATTTTCAATAGTTTCTATTATTATATTTTCAAGTTCTTTAATATTTTTTCTGAAGTGCCAAATCTATTAAATCCATCAATTAAATATTTCATTTCAGATAGCACATTTTTTAGTACAAGATAATTGTTTTATACCTTTCATTTCTCTCATTCAGTTCATGCTTTCCTTTAAGTCCTTGATATAAATAAACACATTTATAAGCATTGTTTTTAAATTTCTTTTCTGCTAATTCAATCAATTCTGCCATTAACTGATCTTTCTCCTAGACATTGGTTACATTTTCATGCCTCTTTGCACATCGAATAACTTTTTATTAGATACTAAGTACGCTGTATGTTATATTGCTAAGTGACTAGACTATGTTGTCTTTCTTTAAAAAGTATTAAATTTCATCTGGTTCAAGAGTAGTCTTTATGTTTGGATTAGCTTAATCTTACTACCAAGGTATCGCTCGTTTAGTGTCTCTGTATGCACCAGAGGTTCAGGAAGATTTCTCTCTGCCTAGTTAGAAATCAAAAGTTTTCCAATTGTGTGTGAACACTATTATTTGGGCCCCTGGTATGCGCCCTTCAGCTAGCATCATGGAGTTTCACATTTGCACACCAAATTTAGCCTTCATCCAAAGACTGAGTGGAATCCCTATACAAATTTCTACCTCCAAGATGCTATTCTCCACAAATTTTAGCTGCCTTAGCCTCTGGTATGTGTATCCTACACTTAGATTATCATCTCTTGCCTGCATTCTACCTTCCTGGTCTAGAAAGTGGCCTTGGGCAGAAATTCATGGCAAGTATAAGGCTCACTTCATTTGGTTTCTGTCTCTCCTGCATTGCCTGTTCTCTTATGCCTGAAAATAATGTTCTCATAAATTGTGTGTCCTTTTCTACTTGTTTACAGTAGAAGAGAAAATCTGTTACTCCATTATGGCCATGCTTGACTTTACATACACTTTACTAATTTAATATTGTTCAATTTAGTTCCAATTAAGGAAGTCTGGGGCAAATGTATATCTGCAAGACAATCTTGGATTCTAGGAAATTAAAATGTTGGACGGTTCATGGTTAGAGGTGAAGGAACACTCATATCTGGTTTCTCATCATAATGAACATGGGATTTTTAGGAACAGTTTTAAAATAGAAAACAGACTTTATATCCTAATCACTTCTCAGAGACTGGTCTCCCTCACCCTCAGGCCAGAGAGACTTTAACTATGGTCAGTGTCATTCTGTCCCATGTATTACAGAAGTAGGGACATTTGTCATGGAAAGGTGGAGAGACATTAGCTTCAGGGTATGTTTATGAGGTATGTGACATATCATATCTGTACAGGCTACATGTACTTCTGCCCATCTTCTGAAGCTCTGCCATCTCCTCATTCCCATACCAAACTGTATTCCTAAAATTTCTGCCTACCTTCCCCAACTATTTGAGCAGAAGTTATGTTATTTATAGAGATAGAGGTAGATAGATAGAGATATATACATATATATACACATAGGCACACACATATAATAATAGAAGCTATCTTCATTTTCCTCCAACAGCATAGACCTCATTAAAATAGGAGACATTTTAAGAAAGATGTGATTGCTGCTTCTTCTATCTAGTTTAATTCACTTATATAAATCTCTGTTTCTCATTTCTACCTGGTATCTGAGAGAGAAAAGAGATATAAACTGTGAGTATGATAGTGATATTTTAGTTGGGAGGCAGGAGGATACTGAGGAGAGACAAAGATTTTGGAAGTAGAACTAACTTACCTGAACATAAGTAGCTCTTTTTATGTAGATTGCTGCTGATTTCTATTGCTGGATGTGGAAGGATAAACTATTCAATTAAATAATACTCTGCTGTTTAACATAGTCTTTTTCTTATTCATGTTTGGACAGAACTGTTTATTTAAAGTAAATTGAGCAGAAAGAGCTCTTGGCGAGATCATAAATACTGGCTCTCAGAACTCATTTCTGCCCCTCTGCTGCCCCTCTGTGGCTATTTTACTGTGTTTTCTTCGCTTCTCGCTCTGCATCATTGTCACTTCCCAGCCCCCACCTCCTTTAATAATGTTTTTCTCAATAAATACAAAGTCATGCCTAACTAATATTTTTAAAACATCTTAATTATAAACAAAATGCTATAACAAAGTAGAAGGCTGACTTTACATGGTCTCCACCACCGGGGCCTGCAGCCCCTAATCCACTTATTGTGCTGGTGTGTCTTCCACTTAGCAAACTGTCCTATGAGCCTTGCTCCAAGCCTACCTTTTCTCTCTGCTTCCTCCCTTCCATATATGCAATCTGTGTGTTTCCCACCGCTGAAGACCCTACTGAATCCAAGTCTCCTAAGAAATTGGCCCTGGCCATTTGCAAACACAAACCACAGTAGCTCAGCACTTAGTAAGCTCTGATGTACATGAAACGAGGTGTTTCAAAGGATTTCAAACCTGTATCAGATACCAAGAACTTAAGTTTGAAAAAATCTCCCAGATGAATAATCAGTTGAAAATTAATATAGTATTTATAATTTTATTACCAGCTTCATTAGCATATAGTATTTTGTAAGATGCAGTCCTTGTTAAGTGCATCTATTGAATCAAAGATTCAAAGAATAGGGGCCTACCCGGTGGCGCAGCGGTTGAGCGCTGGGTTGCGAAGCTGCCCACAGCCCCTGCAGTGCTGGTTTGATCCCCGGCTGCTCCCCGGCCGCCGGAAGAGGGTCCCACATGGCGCGCAGACCTCTCCTGCCGCCCGCTGCTCCCCTCAGCAGTGTACTTCGGTCCTTCTGCCTGTTCTGACCCCCGCTCTGGCTCTGGTGAATTCTCTCACCCTCCCGCGCTTCTGACTGTACCCAGTGCTTGTATGAATAAATAAATAAAAATGAAAGATTCAAAGAATAGAATTTAAGCCTTAGGTTTGAATGCGACTCATTTACTAGGTGTGTGATCTTAATTTATAGGGGAAATACTGGTACTCATCCATATGGCTATTCTGAGGACTAATGGAAATAATTTATAAATCTATTGATAGAGCTAGCATATGCCTGACATAAAGCAAATTCTCTATAAAAGTTAGCTATTAGTAATAGCTATTATTATTCTAAATTTTTATCTCTCTAGAAACAAAGTGAATGACTTCTAAAGGCCAGTACAGCTTTATTTTTCATTGAGTCCCAAATGCCAATGATTTTGCATATATTGCTTCAATTTGTTATTTATAGATCATATCTTTTGCTAATTTTTTCCCAGTTAATAGGGTTTTGTTTTAATTTTTTAAAGCCACGCTTAGAATAAATTTGTTTACAAGAAATCTATTACTGGGCCTCCCTGGTGGCACAAGGGGTTAAGACGCAGCCCGTGAAGCTATCTGCAGGCACTGCAGCATGAGTTCAATCCCCGGCCAGGGAGCTACCCACATGGCACAGCAGACCTCTCCTGACTTGCCCACTGCTCCCCCCAGGAGTGTGTTTCAGTCAATCTGCCTGTTCTGTTCTCCACTCTGTCTCTGGTGAATCCCCTCAACCCCTGCACCTCTGGCCTGTACCCCAGTTTTTGTATGCATAAACAAATAAATCTTAAAAAAAATCTATTACCATCTTTATCTTCTAGTTAAGCTTATCTGAGAAAACAATGTAATTAGCAAATAAACCTGCATACTTCATTTTCAAGAGTTTACAAAATAAGTTGGTATTATAATGATCCATAATATGCAATCTTTCTATTTTCATTTATGTATTTTTACATAATTGTTCATTTTTGTACGTTTGATTTCTCCTCTCAGGTGTTGTCCCCATAAAATGACCACCACCAAGGTACCCGTGAACCATCACCATAGACTCCTGTGCTCCTCCCTCCTATTTTGATCTCTCCCTCCCCCTCCAAGATGTAGATGGTCTAGAAACAAAAAATAAATAAATATAAATGTTTAAGCTCAACAACAAGAATAACAAAAAGGATAACAAAAATACCATGGCTCAAAATTTTTCCAACAATCCTGTTCCAAAAATCAGTGAGAAAAGTGAAGAAAATGTTAATTCCTCCCAAATAGCAAAGTCTCAGCTAACCCTATATTCCTCTCTCTTACAGCCTTGATCACCGACGACCTCACAGATGCAATCATCTGTGCCAAGAAAATTGTTAAAGAGACAGAAGGGATGAACTATTGGTAAGAGTCTTTCTTGGGAGATATTGACTGCCATGGGCCAAGCCTACAGTGTATCTGTTTATCACAGCTGCAGCAGAACATGGACATATTCACCTCTGCAGAGTGGTCCAACAATTTTAGTGAGATCTTCTCTATTCCTTTTGCCATTGGTGTGTGGATGAGCAGTGAACATAGTAGAAAGGATTCTTACAGAGAGGAGAAATAATATTGAATCATGATATTACATGATTGCTTTCTCCATCTCCAGACGATGGAGAGCTGCTTTCTAATGTGAACTGAAAGCATCAATGACATCAGTGCACAATAGGAAGAAAGCTTGAGTTTGCTCGAGATTCAGAGAAGACTTTGTAGCTCAGGGCAACATTCTGTGGGAGACAGAACAAGCAGCAGCGAGAGAAAAATACTCGTATCTGCTGCATGACGATTTGGCAGGAAATTTCCCTAGGAAGTACACAGCTTCCCTCGGATTGTGCACAAGTTTAGCCACTGCTCATAGCCATCTCTGCAGCTATATTTCTCATGAACATTGCTAATAAGGTCACCCACTTGGAGAACCCAAATTTTCAGAGATTTGAGTATTTAAATGACCCATCTTTATTTTTTTAATCATTTTATTTTTTATATAGATTTTTACATCGTTCTTCATTTTTTTTTTTTACAATATATGCTTTCTCATCTCAGTTATAGTCCCCGTGAAATTCCCACCACCAAGTCACCAGTGTCCATCACCATAGTCTCTTGTGTTCTTCCTACCTGTTTTGATCCTACTCCCTTCTCCCGTCTGCAGAATAGCTCTGGTTTATAGTTGCTTGTTGATTTTGATTTTCACTTTATTATAATAACTTTTTTTTCCCTGATCCCTTATTTGGATCCTCTACATTCCTCCTTAAAGTGAAACCATCTGGTATTTTTCTTTTTCTTTTTGGTTTATTTCACTGAGCATGATCCCTTCCAGGTCCATGCATGTTGCTGTGAATGGCATGAGTTTATCTTTTTTGATAGCTGAGTAATATTCCACTGTGTATCTGTTACCACATCTTCTTGGTCCAGTCTTCTATTTTGGGGCATTTGGGTTGTTTCCATAGCTTACCTATTGTAAATAGTGCTGCAATAAACATAGGGGTGCAGGTATCCTTTTGAATTAATGTTTTTGTGTTAAATGACCCATCTTTAAAGAGTTGCTTGCTTATTGCTAAAATTAATAAGGACTAGGAAAAAGCCAGGGAGAGAAAAGCAAAAGGATGGAATCCTTGGATGTCAAAGCAAATGAAACTAAACCCTGGATGCCCTTTGTTATTTTGGTTACTATTTTTCAATCTAAGAATATTGGATTATCTTGGTTTTTTTTCTGTTATTCTTGCTTCCCTCTCTTCCTCAGGCAAGGTTGGAAGAAACACTGCGAGGGGAGAGACCTGTCTGAGTGGAAAAAGGGATGCGAAGTTTCCCTAAGCTGAGACTGGACCAAGGGCCAAGGATATTTTTGCAACAACTCATGAGAATTTGTAATGAACGTCAAAATGCTCATGTCATCTTGTCCCCCATTCTCCAAATATCCCTTCTCAAAGTTAGAGTGGGAAACTAAGCTATCTTTTAAGGAAATAAATATTTTAATTTAAATGTCTCACTTCATCCTGACTTTGATTCAAGCATTTCAAAGAAGCACACTGTTATGATTTGAAAGTCACCACAAAATGTTGCAGCCCTGAAAGGAACAAAGTTTCCCTCTTTATTATAAGGAGCCGGGTTCCTATGGCCCTGAAGTAGCTATTGATTTTTTGAAAGTATCTCTGGTCTCTCGGGCCCTGGCTTCCAAGTTGACCAAGAAAAGAAGGAATAATGGTTGTGCCAAGAAGGACTATGGACACATATAGTCCATTTGCTGTGCCACCTGCACCCAGTGTGTGCCTGAGGAAAAGTTTATCTTGGGTATCTATCCAGAGGATATGAAACCATCAACCCAAAAAACTTCACATACTACAATGTCCACAGCAGCATTGCTGACAACAGCTAGACCATGGACACAGCCTAAACGTCCATCCATAAACAACTAGATTTAGCATCGCCACACTGTGGAGTACTATTCCACCATAAGATAAAGTGCAGCCATTTTGAGCAAAGTGGTAAGAGTTTGAGAGAATTATGTTCAGCAAAGCAAGGCAGATCAGCTTGCAGATGATTTGATAAAGTAAAACATTTATAAAGACTAATGGACATTATTAAACATAGTAAGGGCATTGAGGTGAATAGGGAGTGGGAGAAAAATGGACAGGGGGGAGTAAGTAATGTTGGGGGCCAAACAAAAATAAACGAAAATCATAAACTGTTCAAAGGAGCATCATAAATATAGAGGTATGTGTTAAGACCAAGTGTGGAGAAGACTCTAGACCACTGTGGCAGGTGATGAAGTAACTCAGCAATTGACCTACCAGATCTTTTGCCTTGAGAGGAGCCTGGACTACTACAATTGATCCATCTCAATTTTGAAAAGGCAAAATGGAACCAAGTTTAGTATCTATAATAGTCCAAATAATGGTAAGGAGTTCACCCCCCATCCACAGAGGATATGTTCAAAAGCTCCCAGTGAATGCCTGAAATAGAAGAGAGTACTAATTATTACAAAAATAATAATTAGTGGCCTGAGTTTGATCCCCAGCGAGGGAGCTACCCACATGGCATAGCAGACCTCTCCTATCTCACCCACTGCTCCCCTCAGCAGTGTATTTCAATAGATCCACCTGTTCTGCTGCCCACTCTTTCTAGTGAATCCTCTCACCCCCCCACCCTGCCACACACACACATACACCTCTGGCCTAGACCCCAATTCTTGTATGCCTACATAAATAAATCTTTAAAAATATAATAATGTGACCCAAGTCGAGGAAAAGTACTAGATGAATCACCAGAGTTTGCCATCCTCTATCCTGGAGCATTAGGTTATGTTTTCTCTGATCAGTGCACACAGATTCTTTCCTCAGCTCAACACTGCCAGAGAGAAATCCCCTGCTTCCTCTACCGTCCTGCCTACACTAATGGGAGTAAGGCACAGAGCTGCTGCTCTTATCCCCAGTGGTCAAAGTTCCAAATTGATCCCAATATCCATTTAATCTATCAAACCCATAAATCAATTTTTGAGGGAAAATGAGTCTTGCTCTTCTCACTGCTTATTCTCTTCTAAACTTCACCAAAAATCTTCTATACATGTTTTCCACCAGCTATCTTTCCATAGAAGCTTTGACTGATTGGGAGATGACTTGAATCAAGACTAGAAATAAGACATCAAGCCACATTATTGAACAGTTTATGATGCATTGTCTGCCTTCTGCTCAGATATTATAAGAGAATGTTTAAACTCAATACTCTACTGAAAAATCCAAAGCATGTGGTTAACGTGTTGTTTCACCCCCTTAAAATAAGAATAGAATATTTGCCAGACACAGTCTTGCTAAGGATGAGCAACACTAGCAGAAGGTCGTGGTACAAACCAGGCTTTTAGTCAACCCCAGTTACCACTGTTCTGGTTCTACGTTTTTCTTTCTCCAGTCTGTTCAACAGGTGATTTCTAACAAGTACCACAAACACTTCAATAAGAAGAACTACATTTTGTGTGAAAGAGTGACGTTTCTGAAAGGGAAAAGGAAAGAAACCGCCAGTAAAACTGTGGCCATTTGTTCTACTAGCTCCCTGTTACTGAGATTTCCAACCTAGAGGGTAAAAAGTTAAAGTCTTCTCTAGATTTCCCTGCCTGCTGGCTGCCACGCCGCTACTGGCAACATAATTCTTGGTAAGGAAGAAAAAATAAATCTATAGTTGCCTTGAAAAGCATTCATGCAAAATAAAGCCAGGATTCATAAGTAATCAGACTTCTGCATCACTTTGCAAAACAGTATCCTGTTACTAGCTAAAGCAAACAGAGATTTTAACCCCAGAAACTGACAGGCGGTGCAGAAGGGCAGATTGGAAAAGATTAAATATTTGTGCAAAGCCCCACACCCCCCTTCACAAAGGGCCACCTTAGTCTGAATAAAAGGGATGCAGGACCTGAGAAGAGAGCTTGCTCTCCAGAGGAAGGTCTGGTGTGAGGGAGATGAAGAAGGGAGAGAGTGGGCACCAGGTGATGGGGGTACCCTGCACTGACTGCAGGCCTACACTGCGGAGCCCCTCTGTGGGGTTAGGTCATGGAGAGCAGATAAAGACAAAAATAGGATGTTGCGGGCTTTGAAGCTGCAAGGCTGAGATGGCAGCGGCCAGAGAGGAACTCTCAGGGAAACCCAGTCTCCCAGAGCACCGCGAATTTCTAGGTGGGAGGAGGAGCAGCGCCCGGAGCACGCGCCAGCAAAGCGCACTGTGCAGATCAGCAGTGCAAGGCCAGCCGTGGGATCCAAGGACCGAGCAGAAAAGGGAAATTTTAGAAAATTGTTTAAAAATTGCAGTTTTCAACCCCGTGGCACTCTACCAAAGCCAGCTTCTGCTTCTGAGACAGTCTGCCAGGAACCTCGAGCTTAGAAAAGAAAACAGAGCAAAACCTCATACAATAAAGCTTTCTGTGCACGGAGCAGGGAGATCGCTGATAAGATGAGAGTTTTTTCGGAATTGGGATTTTTCTGTGGATTTTGGAGCTCCTCGGGGCCCACCTTGAAGCCTAACACAGGCCCTCCACAGAGGAAGCGGCTCTGGGGAGGCACTTTGAACAGAGCTCAAGTGACCCACCTTGGAGGGAGAGAAGAGTCCTCGGGGAGAGCAGCCTGGGGTTCCAAGCAGGCTTAGCCACCGCTGCTTTGGTGGTTCTCAGTGCTGGCTGCCAGGAGAATCCTTGAAAGACTTTTATTAAAATACTGATACCCAGACCTGCCTCACCTGTGTTAAGTCAGGCTCCCTGAAGCTGGGGGGGGGGGGGGGCGCGCTGGGCATGGATGGGGTGTGTTTTGTGGTTCTTAACATCCCAATTAATTTGAATGCTAAGCCATCGCCATGAACCCTAAGCAAAAAACTTAAAGGAGCCCTTTAAGTTGATGGGGACTGACTTTTCTCTGGCTGCTGCACCCAGTCTCCTCACTGGGAGAAGAGCAGAAACAGCCACTCCTGGATGCCCCCTGCGCCTTCAGGAGGGTGTCCTTCTGGAAGGCTTAGAGCCGGTCCCCATGTCAGAGGAGTGGAGCCTATTCAAAGCAGACAGGGAAAAGGGAATAAATCGCCACAACATCAACACCTCTTGAGTAATTACTACTGTGGGATCGGTCTCCCCAAAAGGGTCAGGTAAGTTTTTCTAAACGGGTCCAGAATAGGCCTCTGATTACCTTGGTATGGGAACTAGAGGACATTCTTTGGGTGTTTGCTATCATTATGGACAGAATGCAGGTTGTTTTGCTTGAGAGCTGTGAGTGGACTGAAGGCTATGAGAAGCTTCTGTTCTTCACAAAGTTTTTGCCTTCCTAATGGAAGAAGAGGTCCTCATGTCCAAGCCTCTTCCTTATCTTAAAATAGCAATGACTGTTCTCCCTTTTATGACCTAGAAGAATGCAGTTTGGGGGGGGGGTCTCATCCAGTTCTAAGTTAATCAGTAAACATGTTTTGTCTGTGGAATAATACTCTTAGAGAAGGCTGAGCACTGGATCAGCAGTCAATTTTTTCTCAGAGTCTCCAGGCTTAATCCAGGTACAGGACATTATCAGGCTTGTAGTTAATTTTGGGAAATTTGAAGCAAAGCCTAGTACCAGCATGAACAGCCTAGGGATTCTGCAGTTTTAGCCCAGGATGGACTACTACTCTACCTAGGTAGACTCCAGGCTAAGCCCAAGCAGGTCTCTTGGTCCACCTCGTTAGACTCTGTCACCATGGATGGGCTCCTGGTGGACTTTGACATCTCCAGGCTGAGCCCAGGACAGATACTGGGATGACCTCAGCAGCATATAGGCTGAACCAGGACTGGGAATCCTTCTCTAATATGGAAGCCTCCAAGCTGAGCCAGAGTGGGACTTCTGGTCCACATTGGCAGCTCCAGGCTGAACACGGGGCAGGCCTCCTGGTTGACCCTCAACAGCCTCCATGATAAACCCAGGGCAGGTCTCCTGGTCAACTTTGGTGGGCTTCAGCCTGAACCTAGGATGGGCCTCCTGGTTCACCTCAGCAAGCTCCAGGATGAACCCAAGACAGGCTACTGTGCAACCTAGGCAGCTCCAGGCTGATCCTGGGGCTCCGGCTGGTCAACCTCAGCAACCTCCACATTGAATCTAGGGCTTGCTTCCTAATCAACTTCAGCAGCCTCCAGCCTGAACCAGAGACAGGCCTCCTGGTCGAACTCGGCAGCCCTCACAGGCTGAGTCTGTGCTTACCTCCTTATTGAACTCAGCAGCCTAAAGGCTGAGTACAGGCTGGCCCCATGTCAATCTCAGCATTGCCTGGTATGAGTCCCAGTGGGCTTCCTGGTCAACCTCGGGAGCCACCCCACCCCCCACCCCCTAGGCTGAGCCACAGCTGACCTCCTGGTTGATTTGGCAGCCACCAGGCTGTGTTCCAGCTGGTCTCCTGGGCAACCTTGGCAGCCCCCCTGTTAAGGCCACCTGGTTGACCTCAACAGCTCCCAGGTTGAGACCCTGCATGTGCATGGTTGACCTTGATAG